TTTTTTTTTTTTTTTTTTTTTTTTGATTAAAGCTCGGACACGAGCATTGGCAATTGGCAGCAGAGCGAACTTATTTAAGTGCCAAGCACGTTGCACGTCGCTGCAGAAGCTGGCAAGAGGCTGTCAAGTGTTGCCACTGGCAGCCATCGAAATAGACAATCTGCCAGGCACTCCAACGGCTGCCCAGCTGGCGACCCCATTTGCCAGCAAGACCAGCAGGAGGTCGATGGTGGTGGGGGAGCAGGTCGGGGCAGGTCGGAGGAGGCGGCAGTGGCAAAGGTCGCCACGGCCAGTTCTCGTTTATGGCCAAAATGAGTTACGAGTTTCGCTGCAGCCAATTGAAGGCTGTAATTAAAACTAATTTCATTTGCTTTTCATTTCGCAAGCTTCGTTGTTGTTGATGCTAGATTATAAGCAGGCGATTTAATAGGGCCAATGCAACGGCTGTACGTTTACTTTGCACACGCACTGTTGGCCAGGTCGTGCGCTCTATTAAATAAACAAGCGGCAAGAGCTGCGCACTGGGGCCTTTAGAGCTGCACCATGCTGTGTTTGGGTAGTGAAAATTTATCGATAAGAATGGATTTTCTGCTTCGCTGATTGTCAAACTGTATGCCCAAAAGAGTGACGCTCAAACTGTAGCTGGAGTAGTAGACTGTAAAAAACCTATTTAGATCGAGAAAATCGAATGCATATAGCTGACTGACTCAGTGGCTTTCAAACTATGTTTAAAGTAGAAATTCAGGCAGCTTCTCGATAAGGTAACTCTCAAACTGTAGTTACATTTGAGTATCACTCAAACTGTAGCTTGAAATAACTGACTAAAGATTATGTATTCATAACATATAACTGATAACCCATAACATGTACACATTTATAAGCTAGTTGGACAGAATATTCGCAGTTTTAGTCACTTTCAGGCTTATTTATCTATAAATTTCAAACAGTATTTTTATACTGGCCTTTTGGCCATTCTATTGACTGTAAGAATGCACATCTGAAAGCAGTAAATTAGAAGCAATTTAAATGACAATTTCTTTTAGAGACTCTCAAACTGTATGACCAAAATCAAATTAACAATTTAGGTTATTTGCTCAAACTCCAAGCCTCAAAACTTACACGACTCTCAAAAAGGCTATAAATTCAAAATTTACATGATTCAATGACTTTCAAACTGTCGCATATTAAATCCAACCAAATCAAGAACCGTTTATCTTGTTTAATAACATAGCATGACTGCCAAACTGTTTCAGTTTTATATAAATATATCTTCAAACTCATTGGGCTTACACAGCTAGATCTACATATATACAAATTCACTCACATAGCAACTGACAACCAGTATACCACCTTAATACCGTTCCGAAGGAGAGAGTATTGCGAACAGTAAAAATCACATTTAATGACTTGACAAGCATACAGAGAGTGCAAGCTCTTGATTAACATTCGCCTCAAGACACACGTGGCGTATGCGTAATATTGATTTTTTAGACCAAAACACTAATTTCTGTGGGCCAGAGTGGGCGCATTGATATACATATACATATACACGCATATAGACTAAATTTATTTATTATGATTTATCAATGGAAGGACAAGGACTCAATATCGTCTGTCAGCTGTAATTACCTATTAACATTTACGCATTGTCGCTGAGAGAAAATCGATAGGGTCCGAGCGGGCGTATACTTGATGTTTTATAGCGGTAGGGTGGGGGTTGAGAGTGGGCCGGAGGGGTTGGGGAAGTCAGACTCGTGTACTCCCTATTTGTTAATCATTAGGCCTGCAGCAGCCGCAGTCCTTTAAGCAAATAACTGACTCAAATTATGCCCCACACGTTCGGGCCGTACAGGCCGTGACCTCGTAAATTGAAGTTTCATTAGGCACTGCCACGCCTCCGCCTCCACGCTCAAACGCTCAAACGCACACACGCACACTTGCAACAGCTGGACGCGACTCTCGACTCGTGCTCGAGCTATGTGTCTGTGTCCCGGGCAGAGGCCCAGGCGCAGGCACAGCCACAGGACAACAAGGCAGTGCGTGTAGTTTAATTGGCGCTGTCCTTGCGCTCACTCCCCCTCTCTCACTCTCTTCCTCTCTCTCTCTCTCTCTATGTGTGTGTGCGCGTTTATGGGCGTGTATTGAGCGAAAGTTTTTGTTACCATAATTATGGCGGCCAAGGTTGCCAGAACTTGGCCAGAACTTTGTTTGTTTGCCCACTCGAAGACAGAGCCGACGACGGCCCCTGTGAAAGGTGTCAAAACTCTAAGGTGTTGCCATATTGATATCGATTCGGAATATGCATATCGAAATTTAATTGAATTGAATTCTGACATGGCCTCAACTTGATCTACAACAGGCCATGTCATGAGCTTCAAGCTTATATACAATATATATACTTACCTATGAGCTATAAGAATTTCAGTTTGATAATTGACGAAACGTAAACGACATAAAGTTAATTTAAAAAAAATAAAAAAAAAACTATTATAGTCCATTTTAATGTTATACCATGCCCTATGCCTTTAGATACGCCTCTAGGAAATATGTACGTGTATATCAAAGCCTTAATTATAGATCTCTATTTATACTTCACACTTTCAATAATTATCCTGCAGTGAAAAGTTGAATTAAACTTTTCAATTAATTTCAACTTTGCTTAATTTGCTTAATTGAAACGCTCGTAAGCTGAATAAAAAATGAATAAAGTTCTTCTTCCATTTTGTCTAAAGCTAAGTAATGAGGGCTGTCTGATAAGTCAGTGAGCTTAAATCAGTATTGAAATTATTAAAATAGTTCATTTTAGGTTTCTTTTTTAGCCAACGAAATACCTTCATCTATCCAAGTACGACAAATACCAGGAAACTGTAAGTTCTATTGGTAAATGTGCAAAGCCTTCCCTTCATAATATATATAGCATCCTCATCCTATATCATATATATGAATATATATCATAATATTAATATATAAACAAAGAACTAAAGCTTAGCAACCAATCTTAAATCATATGCCATAATTTTCTGGTCTATAGACTATTTTTTGATTTTAAATTACTCCAATTATATTATACCAAATTATACCACCTACCCCCATCTATTTCCCTTACCGAGCACCTACTTCCGTCTCCTCTCATTTCCTCCCGTCTATTTCCAACTACTTCTCCCAATGCCCATCTAGTCCCATCTCCTCCCGTCTCGTCCAGTTCCTTCGCACTAAGGCTTCTTAAATTTCACTTCTCAGATATTGCTTTAGACAACTCAATTTCCCAGCTTAAGCTATGCTCAATTATGTAATTTTCCCTCCTTTTACAGGGTATTCCAACTTAAAAGTGCGCATTAAAAAAAATCTGCATTCGCTGTCTGTATTCATGTAATCTATGAGATTGCAGCCATTCGTCAGGCATAAATAATGCAGACAGTCATCAGTAGCCTTTGCGCTGATGTTGCTGCAGTTGTTGTTGTTGCTGTTGTTGAAGTAGTTGTTGTTGTTGCTGTTGCTGTTGCAGGTAGCCCCTTAGGCTCTGCCCGCCATTAGCCTTGTGTGCAATTTTAATGACAAACAAATTGGACGTAGCTGCGTTTACTTTCCGTATTTTTTTTTCGCTCTCTCTCTCTCTCTCTCTCTCTCTCTCTTTTCGCATATCCATATATATATATAAATATATATGCATATACAAATGTGTGTGTGTGTGACTCGTTTTTCAGCAGTGGCGCCCCATTTGACCGCATTTCGATTGGACACACGCGCTCCGACGCCGTCTTACGTGTCAAAGGTTGTGAAATATTTAATGATTTGCGTGCAATGGTCAGGCCGCACCACCCACAGCACCCACAACACCCACAGCACCACTCAAACACCACCTGAGCTACTCACGTGTGTAAAGTAGTAGTAATGCACGGAGGCACCTCGCTCGGCCAGCGCCTGTGCATAGTCGTTGGTGGGGCACGTGAAGAAATGATCTCCGACTGCGCGTCCAATTTGCTGTTGATTCTGATAGCCCGGATTGCCCTCCCAGCTGGTGTACTGCAAAATTCGTGTGCGAAGAGCAGGAAGAGTTAGTTAGCTAAGCTTCAAATATATATATTTATAAATGAAGTATATAATATATTGTATAATGTTTTGATAAGTGAGCGTGAGTTGTGTATGAAGTCGCCTTAGCCAAGGGATTTACATGTATTATCTATGTATTATAAATGTCGTAGCTACATATGCTATCATGCTGAAATGAACTGCAGAGTCTTTTTACTCAGTTTCCCAATTGCTCTTAATTGACCCATATTACCAATAGATTACTATAGTTCTGAGGCTCTTAGCCTTGTCTAAAATTGTTGCAAAAATATTATACGGGTGACTGTTTTTTGTTAGCTTAACACTTCTATCTAGTTATCTAGTTTGTACCTTTCAATTATCTCTTTATCAGAAAGAGCGAAAGAGAGAGAGGGGGAGAGAAATTACGAATGCTGTTGCTGAAGTAAATAATGGAATTAGAGCTATTTAGTCCATCTGAGCCGGGTCGTAATAATTTTAATGACGCCTTGAAATTAACATTGTCTAAACACATTGCCAATAAGAGTGAAACGTAAATTTCATTATTGGACTCTGCTCTAAAAGGATCAAATTAGAATGGACGAGAGCCAGATTGAAGCAACGGAGGCATATACATATATGCCTATACTAAGTGATATTTATTTATCAGACTTTCGTGTTAATATACAACTATTTATATAGTATTTATCTATTGGGCCTTAGACTTAAAATACAATTCAAAACTAACTAGCTAATTAAGCATTGGCACTAGAGCCTCGGCTTCACCTACATATTAAATATATTTATTATTACTATTTAAATTATACAATTATAAAATTTCTTTATAAGATTACCAAAAACAAAAGATAATAATCGGTCTTCATTCTCCACCCAGTTAGCTAGATTTTTCTTAAATTTTGCAATTGCGATTTTCTGAATTTTTCTAAATTTTAATTAATATCTAGTTCAACTTTTTGTCGACTATTATTGTTGTAGCTATTTAATTAAGTATAACTTAATAATAAATCATAAAATAATAAGATAAATTTTCATAAATGGGAATAGAATCTGATTTCAGGAGAGGTACACCCACAATCTCTCAATTACTGACTAAATTTTCAACATAAAAACAAACAAGTTTCGTCTCAACCTCTATAAAAAGATCTTCAAGCTAACGCTTTAAGCGATCTATCTTTCAATCGAGCTGAAATAACCTCTAATAGCTAACCAACTGAAAATCATGCAAGCATGTCATCTAACTAGTTTACATCTTCCTCGAATCAGGAAACAAATGCCAAATATGATTGCAGCTGTGTGATTGGGAAGGGGGGAGGATTGGCTAACAGCTAAAAAAAATTTATATAATTGAGAGCTGCAGTTGGTATCGTGCGATATCTGGCGAGTCGCTGAGTTGCAGCTGCAATTCGATTTAATGCGCTGCGCATTTTCTGTGTTTTTGATTAAATTTGCTGCCCCTGCCACACTGCAAACAGAGTGAATAAATTTGCGTAATGCAGTTTCATAGAAGTTGACGTCAGATTTTTAACTCGTTTATGCGGCGGCTGTGGCAGAGTGGGAATTGTGGCCAAATGCACTGCAAGAGCTGAAAAGTTTTCTATGCCTCTGTATGTGTGTGTCTGTGTGAGTGGCAGTGCGTGTGTATGTCTGTGTGTGTGGTTAGATTGGGGCACAAGTTGGCTGCAGCTGACAGCTGGGGCAACAAAGAAAGCCAACGATGCGTTTCCCCTTCGACATTGGCATAGGCACATGTCAGATGCAGTGCGAATGTGCGACTGTGTGTGTGTGTGTGTGTGTGCGTACGTGTGCATTGTTGCTTACCTGGAATATAATAGCCTCGCGCTCCGCCTGCGTGGCCTTACCAAATATATTGTTCATAATCTCCAGATACTTGTCACGTGGCAACGCTGTGGCATCATCCTTATCAAAGTAATCAATGAAATCGTACAGCAAGAAATATGTGCCTGCAAAAGAGAGAGAGAGAGAGAGAGAGGGAGCGGGAAAATATGATTAAAACTTGGCCTATACAGATAAGAAGTAAAGTCTTCATGTTACGTGGGCAAAATCTAAAACAATTGACACTACGATGTGGCCAAAGGGGCGCAATCAACGAGCCGTGCCAAGGACACCAAACGCTGCATTAACCCAAACAACAACAAGTTGTTGTTGTTGTTGTTGTTGAGGTGCACAAAAGGGTGAAATAGAATAAACAAAATCAACCACAGCAACAACGGCCTTAACAAGGGCGAGAACAAAGCGCCTAGTTGCCTTTTATTAACTTAATTTTTATGGCACTTGTTGTTGTCGTCGCTTGTTATGTTTACTGTAGCTGTCATTGTTGTTGTTGTTGCTGTTGCTGTTGCTGTCGTTGTTGCTGTTGTGTGTTGCTGCTGGCATTGTCTCTGGCACACTTCAAATACGAACACACTAACGAGCCATAATTGCTGCCTATGAGCCAGCTACAACAGCAATAACAACAATAGCCAATAGCTGTGTGCGTGTGTCTGTGTGCTATGTGTGTCAACCCACACACGCCCAGCAGCTTCGTGGTCCCAGAGCAACGGAAAAGGAAAAGAAATACAAAGAAAACAAAAATTGTTTGACTGCAAGCAATTTGTTGATGTTTGATTCAATTTTGGTTCAAGCTCCAAAAATTATGCAAAAACATGCGCAAAACGAGCTTTGTTTACGCATTAAATTTAAACAGCAACACACACGCACGCACTGAGACACACTCACACACGCACTTTACTCTCAGCGTGTAACATAAATGAATTTGTGTTTGATGGAAATATTGAGCTGCGCTACACAAAAATTGATTAAACAATTATGAAGATATCTTATATACAGTGGGGCACAGTGGTTCAGAGCTGGGCAAACAGCTGGCTAAATAAATATATTTCAGTCAAAGGACTTTATTACTTGAAGACAGAAAACCACAGATAACTAAAAAATAATTATAAAACTACATATTTACTTTAAAAAATTTTAAAATGAGTTGTCTACTTTGAAACTTTTCTAGCATAAGGCTGTCCACCTGATTTTATTTAAGTTTTATTTCCTTGGCAAATTTGTTTAATTTATTCAGCTAATTATAAATATGAGGTATTTATTAATTTTATATGCATGTTGCTATAACAACGATTTGAATTTTATGCCAAAATGTTCTATATTCGTTAAAATTGTTCAGTTAATTTATTTATTTATTTATATATTAGTATAGATTTCTATTGGCTTTATCAGTGAAATCCCGTTATAACGACTCAGCTTATAGTGTCCGTACGGTTATTGCGACGAAAATTCTGGTTCGCAGACAAACTTATATGAACAAGCTTATACATTTATAGAGTCCTCCATTTTTTAAAGTCCGTCAATTTAATGAATGCTTTAATCGTTGCTGTGACTTGTCCTTTCTTAACTCTAATTAATATGGCAAACAAAAATATATATATTTAGTTACTTTTCGTGATCTTTAGCTAATTTTAAGCAAGGTCGCAACATGACGTATACTTAATATTTAAACAGCCTGGGAACAAGCATTTGGCTAATTCGCTCTAAATTGGAACCGCCAACACTTTGCAGTTATATCATATACATATACATATATATGTATGTATATATGTTCCGCAGTAACGGAAAAAGGTCAAATTGTACAAGAAAAGGCTTTGAGAGAATCTTAAAATAAAAATTTAAATATATAAATAATTGAGTAATTAGTAAAACTGTAAATCAAACAAAAACAATTGTTCGCAAACGTATCTGTAAAGTAATGATGTTATTACCGCCAACATTTTGACCAAGTTAGCAGCTGGCCTCAAATGTGGAAGCCAACAACAAACAATAGAATTAAGATGTTTTCATGCAAGCTGCGCATTGTAATCTATTGTGTTTTGTTTCAAATGCTAGATGACCTTGAACTCACAAATACACACACGCACATACAGTCGTAGAGAAACAGTTATATGCGAGCCGTAGCCATCGTTGTGGTTGTGTTGTGGGCACGCACACCTTAGCTAGAAACAGCAACAACAGCAACAACAGCGACAGAGCAGCGGCAGCAGCTGCGGCAGCGGCAACAGCAGCAGCGCCAGTGGCTGTAATATGCAGCAAAAACAAAAACAATAACACGACTGAAGAAGCGAAAGAGCGAGACGGAGAGCCAGGCAAAGGCGACAGCAGCAGCTGCAAGCAGTGAGTGAAAGTGAGCAGAAAAGCGCACGTGTCTGTAGCGCCAGTGCCCCGGAGCCGTGTGTCAGTGCCAGTGCTTACGTTCCTCTATATGTGTGAGTGTGAATGTGTGAGTGTGAATGTGTGTGTGTGAGTGAGTGTGCTTCGGTGCCTGCCGCCTGGAAATGACGAAGCAGCAATGGCAACAAGAAAAACAAAATGAAAGCGAAGCGAACCCAAGAAAAAGGCACAAAAAGCGACCGAGAATCTGTTATACGAAAACAAACCCAACACACACACACACATGCACGGCGCCATACGCATAGCTCGCGCAAAATGAGAAAGAGAAAGCAAAACGAACGGAAATTTTTTAAGTAGCGCGCGGCATGGCACGAATATTGCGAACAATGCACACAAAGCGTTAACATTACCGTTAGGCCAAGCAAACGCAAACCCAAGCAAACACAAACGCGATAAATGCTGGGAAACGCAGCAGCCGACGCCGTCGCCGTCGCCGCAAGCGAAATGCGAAACGGACAGAGGCGCTGAAGTAGAAAATACAATGAAAAAAAAAAAAAAAGAAAGTAGGAGAAGTAAAGAAGAAAAAAAAACGTTGCATTCTTTTCAACTTGAGCGTAGAAAAAAAGAAGAAATTACGATTCAATTGAACATTTGCTTTGAGAGCTTAAAAATCAAACGGTATTTAAAGCACAATGCAGCACGCAGCAGGCAAGAGCAAGATGGCAACACAAGTTTCTAGGAATTGAATTGTCCGAGTGCGAGTGTGACTATATGAGTGTGTGTGTGTGTGAATGCCTTGAATGCTGATTAAAATGGCTTTCAATGTTGCATAGATTGAACACAAGGCAAATGATTTTATTTTGAAAGTAATAAGAAAGAATTTTGAAGACAAACAATTTCGATTAAGTATTAATGCAAAAAAAAAAAAAAAAAAAAAAAAAAAAAAATGTGTTCTTGATAAATAAATGTATTCAATATTAATGTAGAATAGAAATATTTATATTTTATACATATGTTTATATATTTAATATTTCCATCCTACTACTTTGGAATGTCATTTAACAGAGAATAAGATATTTAAATAAAAAAATAACAAATATATATATTTTGTAATTTAGATTTTTTAGATATGTATTATGTTTT